AGAAATAGACTTCTTTGATCAGTTTCCCCATATGTTACCCATCCCCTTCTCTGCCCTCACCCAAACCCTCAGCACCTACCTTGGAGCTCTGCTTCCGAATCACCTGCCCCCCCTCTCCCAACAAAAACCCTTTGGGTGCCCCCCAGTGTGCTGAGCCCTCCCTACCCCACCAAGGTCATGACACCCCATTCTGGGCCACTGTTGCCCCCAAGCTGGCCTGGACTGCTCCACCCAAGGGCCTTGGGACATTTGTTCAAAAAGAAACAAAAAAGAAAGAAGAATGTTTGATCCCAGTTCCCCCGCATTTAAATGCATCGGTGTTTTCTTTTATGGCTCCTGGATTATGAGTCACAGTTTAAATGCTTTCTCTACACCCAGGTTAGAAAGGAAACTTTCCGATGTTTACTTCTCATTCTTTCATGGTTTCATATTTTACATTGAAATCTTTGAGCCATTTGGAGGCTATTCAGTGTATTATTATTATTATTTTCCATTCCTTTCTTCTATTGAGTTGATGGGGTTTTCTTTTATCTCTGGTTTAAAATTATTAATTAATTAATTTATTTATTTTTAAAGACATATTTATTTATTTTAGAGATGAGGGAGGGGGGTGAGGGTTCAGAGGGACAGGGAGACAGAGAATTTTGAGCAGACTGCCCCCGAGCCTGGATAAATAAAATCCTAAAATAAATAAACAAATAAATAAAAATTTAAAAAATATATATATTGAAAATAAACTTCCACAGCTTGTCCCATTGGGAATTAATCCCTGTTGAAGCAGTGTTAGCCACTGAGGCAGATAAACCCCGAAATATCCATGGATTAAACAGCTGACTTTTATTTCTCATTTAGGGGAAGTGAAATATGCAGACACAGAATGGCTGGGGATTGACCTGGGGCTTGAACCCACAACCCCAAAATCAAGTGTCTCAGGCTGCACCCACTGAGGCAGCCAGGCGTCCTTCTCAGGTGTGAACTAATAGAACCAGTGTAGAATGGCTTACCAGTATATGCTAAAGCTGGACGTATTCACCAGCTTTTTCATAAAAGCCCCAAATTGGTCTTTCTTTAAAAAAATATTTATTTTTTCATGAGAGACACAGAGAAAGGCAGAGATACAGGTGGAGGGAGAAGCAGCCTTCCTGTGGGGGGGGCCCATGCAGGACTCAATCCCAGGACCCTGGGATTATGACCTGAGCTGAAGGCAGGCGCCAAACCGCTGAGCCACCCACGCATCTCAATGCTTTGCTTTTCGATGACATTTGCATTTATTGCATTTATATGGTGACTTTTGGAAAGGACCTAAGGGTGGGGGCTGGTTGCCAAGGGAATCAAACCTGTGGTTAGAGGGTTAAAATTTTCAATCCCACCTCCTGACAGCAGGGAAGGGAAGAGCGAGTGGAGGTTGAATTCATCACCAATGGCCAGTGGTTTAATCCGTCGTGCTGTGTAACTAAACTGCCATAAAACCCCAAAGGATGGGGCTCAGAGAGCTCCCCGGTAGAAGAGCTGCTGGAAATTTCCGGGAAGTGGCTGGAGAGAACATAGGAGCTGCGGGCCCTTTCCCATCCTCATCTGGCTGTTCCTCGACTATAGCCTTTTATAATAAACCAGTAATCTAGTTAGTAACACATTTCTCTGGGTTCTGTGAGCCACTCTAGCAAATCAATCCAACCCAGGGAAGGCATTGTGGGAACCTCTGATCTGTAGCTTGTAGGAGCACAGGTGACAACCTGGAATTGAAACTGGTATCTGAAGTGCGGGCGGAGGGGGGTTGTGCAGAGAGCAGGCCTGTAGGGCGACGGAACCCCTAAACTGCAGGATCTGGGGTTCTCTTCAGATCAGTAGTGTTGGAAATTGAGTTAAACTCTAGGACACCCAGGTGGTGTCCGAGCATTGCTTGGTGGTGTTGCAAAACACATGGGGATTAGTGTCAGAGTCACGGACCCAGATGTTCATTATCAGTGGATTGGTACTAAATTGAGGTACATTCGATAGGCAAACTCTAACCCCACCAAGCAGCATGAAAAAAATTTCACAAAGCAGCTTTACGGTAAAGAAGTCCTGTTTCGTTTCTCTTTCTCCTCTCATACTTGGCTGGTAGGGGTGTACAACCTGTCGGACCCGTTGGGTCTGACCTTCAAAATGCACCAGAATCCCATCACTCTTTGCTCCTCTCACAGTTAGCACCCCGCTCCTGCAGCCCCCCACCCCCACCCCTCCCTGGACAGCTCATTAGTCCTCCCAGCTGAAAGCTCCCTGCTTCCCTCCTCTCCTCCCTGTGTTCCCCACGCGGCCGCCAGGGGGCGCCCGTTCCCCTTTACGGAAGGTCGCCTTCCTTTTCTGCGAGGAACTAACTCTTCGCTGGCTCCAGGCTCGTTCCTAGAAAGCCTCAGTGCCCACGAGGCTCTTAAGTATCTGGTCCCTTTCCCGTGTGTCCTTACACCCCACTTTCTCCCCTTGTCTCGCCCACTCCGTTCCTGCCACACCTGCCTTACAGTTCCTGGAACACTAGGGCACCCTCTAGCCTCAGGTCCATTGTCCTGGCTGTTCCCTCTGCTAGGAATGCTGTTCTCCCAGACACCCACGTGGCCCATCTCGCACCTGTTTCCCGTGACCAGTTGCCCCCGGGGAATTATTATTAATTTTAAAAGATTTTATTTACTTATTCATGGGAGACACACAGAGAGAAACATAGGCAGAGGGAGAAGCAGGTTCTCTGTGGGGAGACGGATGTGGGACTCCATCCCGGGACTCCAGGATCACGACCTGAGCCAAAGGCAGATGTTCAACCACTGAGCCACCCAGGTGCCCCTGGAAATCAGGTTTAATGGCTGGAGGACCCAAGGTCTGTGTGTTTGGACTTCAGTGTGTGGGGCAATGACACACCTGGGCATGAAGTGACTGCAACCTCTCCAAAAGTCACACTTCCAGATAATCACAGCCAAAGGGAGGGAAGAAAAGAAGAGGCTGTGTTTCGAGATTTCTTTTTTTTTTTTTTTTCGAGATTTCTTTTATAAAGGGAAGGAAGCTTTCCCAGAGGCCTCCAGGCAAATTTCCCCATTGTGTCCATGATCTCCTCTTGAGCAATCATTGGCAAAAGGGAATGAGAGGCTATGGCAATGGTTATCAACAAATCAGAATTTTGTCCCAAAGCTGATAACTGCTGGACAGGCTACAGACTGTGTCGTCTTAATCCACATGGGTTTCCCTCTAGCAATGGAGTCAGAGATAAAGTGAAAGCCCAAGCTTGACACACCGAGTAGGTAACGGAAGCACATTCGTATCTAGATCTCCAACCAAATAGATATGCCAGCGATGTGGGAAGCAAAGGTAAAAGAAAAATTAAACTTCCTTACTACTTACAGCCCACTGACAAGTCCTTGAAACAGGTAGAGTGATCTTCATCTAAGAACTGATGCTCAGGGACACCTGGGTGGCTCAGTGGTTGAGTCTCTGCCTTTGGCTCAGGGCATGATCCCAGAGTCCTGGGATCGAGTCCCACATTGGGCTCCTTGCATGGAGCCTGCTTCTCCCTCTGCCTGTGTCTCTGCCTCTCTCTGTGTCTCTCATGAATAAATAAAAAAAATCTTAAAAAAAAAAACACTGATATTCATACTTTGCTAAGGGCAAAAGGCAATCTTAGCTCAACTCCCAGGATCCTGTAAGTCTACTGTTTTTTTTTTTTTTAATGATTTTTACTTATTTATTCATGAGAGACACAGAGAGAGAGAGGCAGAGACACAGGTAGAGGGAGAAGCAGCTTCCATGAAAGGAGCCTGACGTGGGACTTGATCCTGGGTCTCCAGGATCATGCCCTGGACCAAATGCAGCGCTAAACCACTGAGCCACCCGGGCTGCCCTGTAAGTCTACTCTAATGTATAAAAATTCCCTCAGAGGGATGCCTGGGTGACTCAGCAGTTGGGTGGCTGCAAGGCTCAGAGCATAATCCTGAGATCTGAGATCGAGTCCTGCACCAGGCTCCTGCGAAAAGCCTGCTTCTCCCTCTGCCTATGTCTCTGCCTCTCTCTGTGTGTCTCTCATGAATAAATAAATCTTAAAAAAAAAAAAATTCCTTCAGAAGCTTCAAGACACCTGTTGGTGATCATCCCCCAAGCAAATGACCCACCAATGTACATCTGACAGGTCTCATGACTCAGTTTTATTAGACAGTATAAATGACCCTTTCCCAACAATAGCTAGCCCCCACGAAGTGGTCCTCAAAACCTTGCTTCCAAAATACCTGGGAGGCTATGCTGTCCCTAACCTCCTCCCAGCTTGACAGTATTAATGGGCCACTGCTCATGACCCCAGGGCAGCTCTTTCTGTCCACGGGTCTTGTCCCCATGGTGTAATAAAACATTTCCCCAACATTTTCCTACATCAGGCTGGTCCTAATGTCTGGCTCTCTACACCTACACATAATTATTAAAGTGCATGTGCGAAAGAGCCAAGATTGGGATACAAAAGCATGACACAGGGAGGTAATGGGGACTATACTTTATAGATTTCTGAGGTTCACCCTCCCAAGGATAGAGTATCCTACCTCAGTCCACACCCTCCAGGGCCTGCTATCTGTACTATTGGCTGTGGGTGCTGGGAAGCCCTTAGAAGACAGTGAGCACAGGCAGCTCTGTGTATACAAGACCCTTTGGGAGCCAAACTGGATGCAGAGAGCGGGTTAGGTGGGGCCGGGATCCAGGTAGGAGAAGACAAGAACTGAGCTGATGGAGGGCCGGAGGATACAGCGGAGGAGACAGCCAGGGCTGGAGACTGGGGCTGTCCCAAGGATGGGGAAGTAGAGGAGGCATGGGTTAGTCACCGCAAGAGGCTAAACTCAGCGTATGATGAGGAGGAAAAAAATCTCCCATGTCACAGATCGCCAGGTCCCTGGGAGCTTGGATTGCTGGGTCTTCGAAAATGAAAAGAGCCCAGGACAGGGATTCCCTGTTAAGACCCTAGAGTCCCTAAGTTGAATCACTGGAGATCACAGCTCATGGCTTGTTCTTTGGCATTTATTTCAAAATTGCAGCAGGAGAAAAAAAAAAATCAAAGCAGCACCGGGAGATCCGGCCTGAGAACGGAGAGATGTGGAGTGGGGGGGAGGGGCAAAGGGCATCCTTGGCCCCCAGACACGGAGCAGCGGGGAGCCCAGATCCCCCACCAAGGTCTGAGAGGCGGGGCGAGGGGCCTAGACGCTCTGGGTCCGGCCCTTATGGCTTTGGGAGTGTAGAGGCCATGTGGGGGCGCCAGAGACCCAGGCGTCCCGGCAGCCCCCGGCCTTTTATATTTCATATTGCACTTCAGGTGAGTCATCGGTAGGGAGGGGAGGGTCCGGCGACGGCTGGATGCTACGGGAGGGTGGGTCCGAGGAGAGGCAGGGCAGGGCGCTGTCATACCGGGAGCATCCAGTCGTGGGCTCTTGCTCCGTACTGCGGGACAAGGGAGGCGAGTCGTGAGAGGAAAGCCAACTGCAAGTCCCAGAAAGCCCTGGGGCGTCTCCGGCGAAATGGTGGCGGAGTTGCGCCCCGGGGCCTCATGGGAAATGTAGTCCACTTCCCAGAAGCTGGCCGAAGCCGGAGGGAGGAGGAACTGTGGCCGTTTGGCTCAGAGGCTTAAAGGAGACTTGGCGTAGAAGCTTAAAAGAGACGTAGTTCTGCAAAGAGTTACTGTAAAGCCTGGAAGGCTCTGGGGCTAAAAAATAATCCGTTTGCAGCTAAGTCCCAAGTAGTGAGGGGTGGTGTTGTTCGGGTCCCGATGCACAGGACTTGACAGAAGCACACAGGAAAGGCAGTTCTAGGTTGAGTGCCAAGGAAGGAGCCCAGAGGCTCTCAGCAAAGCCATCTCTGCCGAGATGAATGCAAACCCGTCTAGGGGCTTATGAGAGTAAATACCGCTGGGCAGTCTTGTAAACGGCCAAAGCAAAAGCCAGGTGCTCCAGGGGCTCTCTGCCGGGTTTCTGCAGCCAGAACACTGGCCCGAAGTCCCAGGGGTCCCTGGGAAGGGGTCCCCACTGCAAGGGCACACAGGAGCCACAGAGAGGGAGGGAAGGGGAATCCTCAAGTCAGTGTTTTAGATGCTCCCAGGAATGGGTCATGTAGCCCCAAGGAGTATTGAAGGCCACAGAGGCGCAAGGAAATCAGATTGGCTCAGTCCGGGGCCCAGAGGCCCATACAAGGGCCCTTATTGCCATTACTGGCTTCTGGGACTGCAGGGGAGGAAGGCTCCCAGTCCAGAGGCTCATGGGACGTGAACTTCCCTGGGGAACAAACATCCAACCCACTTCTCCACCAGTGCACCTCACCTGGATCTCCTTCAGCTCCTTCAGGAAGCGGAGGATAAGCTCGGGCCCATTTTCCATGGTGGGAATGTGCAAATGCTGGAAAAGACAGTGCCGTGATGACCAGAACCCCCTTCTTCTCCCCCGTCACCAATGGCAGCCCCATCTCACCTTGCCTTGGTACAGGATCTGGTGCACAGGGCAGACCTGGCAAGCTGTGCCTGAGCCAAAGACTTCCCGAACCCGTCCCTCTTCCAGCGCCCGCAACAACTCCTTCATTGTGACCTTACGCTCAACGACTCGGAACTCACCCTGAGGGAGCAATACACATGACCCAGGGGCACCCCTTGCCGCAGAGTCCTGCCTCTCCCTCCCTGAGAACAGTGACAAGGAGACCTGAGGAGACAAACCCCCCAGAGAGAAGGGGCAGAGATCTGCTAGTATGCCACAGCCCCCTCTGGGAGCCTTGAAATGCAGGCCCCCAACACAGCAGCACCCCATCATCCCAGCCACCCAAAGACACAGCGCCCTCACCCAGGTCCTTGCCAGGTCCAGTAGACTCTGTCTGACTACTCCGGGCAGAATGACACCATCCAGTGAGGGGGTCACCAGTTCCAGCACTGGGTCGAGTATGAGGCATTAGTGGCATGACCTCACGCCCTCAGGCGCACCCTCCCATCTCAGGAGCCACCCAAACCCACCCCAACCCCTGAGAGTTCTGATATACCCACTCCCACCAGGGCCCGGGTGAGGGTCATGGGAGGGCTCACCCCCATCCTCATGGGTCCAGTAGATGAAGATGTTCATGGTGCCCACCTCGGTGAGCTGGTGGTCCGGCCCGTACAGCCAGAGGACCTGTTCACAGCCCCTCTTCTTCGCCTCTTGCTGCACAAGTACTGTGGGCCCATAATTCCTGGTGGAGAGCAACATGGTTGACCAGGAAATGGTCTCCTTCCTTAGACTCAGTTGAGGGGGGCACTGCCCTGTCTGGGGAACTTTTACAGTGCCCCAGCATGTGCTGCTCCAGATCCTGGGGCTCCCACCAGTCTGGGAACCCCTGGAAGGCAGGGCCTGGACCCGAATCATCTGTGTCCCCAGCTTCACCCAGCATAGGGCCTGACCCTCAGGAGACCTTACAATATATGTGCATGGAAAGGACCTGAATCCTCACACCCCCTAACCCTTTCCCTGCCTGCTGCCTTGGTCACCTTGTGGGGGACCCATCCGGCCCTAGCGAGCCAAGGTCCCTGGCCACAGATGTACAGAAAAGTCCACATGTAGGATGATGATCACTGGAGGCGCAGGGGGTGATGAGAGCTGCACGTGGGGCTGGGGAGGTGGGGGCACCTGATGTTTGGGGGAGGTTACCTGGACTAAGTGTAAACATCAATTCTAGTCTCTCCACCAACTTTCAACCAACCAAATTCTGAGCTGATCTGTCCACAGTGCTTAGCACAGACCTTCTCCCCTCAAGCGTTCCACCACAGTGTCAGTAACATCCAGTCCCAACGGACAAGCAGAGCTGTCCCCAATCGTGTGAGATGAGAGGGAAGGACAACTGATATCCAAAGCCACAAATGGACACCCAGTGTCTGGGACATGCAGTGTACTGGACCTGTAGGGTTGGGGGAGGGACTACTTACCCCCCCAGCTTGTAGTCACCGACCCCACCCACCCAGGCCCGGATAAACGCTGGGTCGGCCAGGAGGGACACGGGGTCCATGGCATCTCCGGGAAAGTATGCGCCCACAGGGCAGAGAATGACAAACAGGAGAGCTTGCGTGGATTGGGTGACACCTAGGGAGGGCTGTGGTGGGCAGAGGGGGACATCAGGAACCCAGGAATCCAGGCCCCCAGCCCCTCTCTTCCTCTCCCCTGGAGTTCCCAGCCCTTTGGTTCAGGACCTCCCCTCTCAACCCCACCCTGGAGTCAGGCTCACCTCGTTCCCAATGAGCACAGGCCGCACGTAGAGGCTGGTATCCTTGCCCTCAGGAACCCAGTCTTTGTCTACTTCCACAAGCCGGCGGATGCACTCAAGCAGCTCGACCTTGTCAAAACTCTGGGCAGGATTCTCATGAGTCAGGGCACTGACCCACCTACCCAGCCCCCTCCTCCCAGGAGCCAGCCAGGGCACCTACCGGTAGGCAGAGGCGCAAGGCTGAGTGCAGCATCCGGTCCATGTTGAGCCAGGGTCGGAAGAGGCGCACCCGCTGGTCGCTGCCCTTGAACGCCTTCATGCCCTCGAAGAGCTGTGGGGACAGGTGGGAAGGTGACTGAGCTGAGACCACCTCAGGGAGACATGGGACACATAGAGATCCCAGCACGATGCCTGATACACAAGAGTTCAGACACAGATGCAGAGATGGATCCTAGGAGAGACTAACCCACGGAGCTCAGAGAGGGAGAAAAGGGGAAAACAGACAGGCAGGGAGACCAGAAGCAGCTGGAGACCCAGAGACAGGTGCCAAGAGAACACCCTGCTTGAACCCCTTCCATGTTACTGCTACGATTTCTCAGGAACATCAATGGTGTGCAAGTTCTGTTTTTTTGAGAATCCTTGTGTTCTTGAGAAGCACTGAAACCCCTACAAGGTGCCTGCCTGGCGCAGTAGCATCTGCTTTTGGCTCAGGTTGTGATCCCAGGGTTCTGGGATCGAGTCCTGCATTAGGATTCCTGCAAGGAACCTGCTTCTCCCTCTACCTACATCTCTGCCTCTGTGTCTCTCATGAATGAATAAATAAGATAGATTCATGAGAGACGCAGAGAGAAAGAGAGAGAGTTAGAGCCACAGGCAGAGGGGGAAGCAGGCTTCCCACAGGAGCCCTATGCGGGACTCGATCCTGGATCCGGGGATCAGGACCCGAGCCAAAGGCAACCGCCCAACCACTGAGCCACCCAGGCGTCCCAATAAATAAAATCTTTTTTTTTTATTTTATTTATGATAGTCGCGCACAGAGAGAGAGAGAGAGAGAGAGAGAGAGAGGCAGAGACACAGGCAGAGGGAGAAGCAGGTTCCATGCACCGGGAGCCTGACGTGGGATTCGATCCCGGGTCTCCAGGACCGCGCCCCGGGCCAAAGGCAGGCGCTAAACCGCTGCGCCACCCAGGGATCCCCCAATAAATAAAATCTTAAAAAAGAAAAACAAACCACTATGGATGAAAGAATGCAAAGTCCCCTGGGGCACCTGGGTATCGCAAGGGTTGAGCCTCTGACTTCAGCCCAGGGCATGATCCTAGAGACCCGGATGGAGTCCCACATGGGGCTCCCTGCATGGAGCCTGCTTCCCTCTCTGCCTCTGCCTGTGTCTCTCATGAATAAATAAATGAAGTCTTTAAAAAAAAAAAGAAAAGAAAAGAATGCAAAGTCCCTGATTTGCTTCAAAATCTTGCAGAAAGGGGCATGATGATGGGAGTCCAGACCAAACAAAAGGGTGACCCACAGGTGCTAGCTGATGAAGCAGGGTGGTAAGGGAGCTTATATATCATTCTTTTTTTATGTTTGAAATTTCCCATCTTAAGGACGCCTCCTGGGCGGCTCAGCAGTTGAGCATCTGCCTTTGTTTGGCTCAGGGCATGATCCCGTGGTCCCCAGATCAAGTCCTACATGGGGCTCCCTGCAGGGAGCCTGCTTCTCCCTCTGTCTATGTCTCTGCCTCTCTGTGTCTCTCAGGAATAAATAAATAATTTTTTTTTTAAATGAAATTTCCCATCTTAGGGGCACCTGGGTGGCTCAGTCGGTTAAATGTCTGCCATTGGCTCAGATCATGAGCCTGGGTCCTGGGATTGAGCCTCATGTCAGGTTCCCTGCTCCACAGGGAGCCTGCTTCTCCCTCTCCCCTGCCTGCTGCTCCCCTGCTTGTGCTCTTTCTCTCTCTGTCAAATAAATAAGTAAAATCTAAAAAAAATATATTTCCCATCATAAAAACTTAAAAAAAATTCTTTTAAGTTATCTCTACACCCCAGATGGAGCTCCAACTCATGACCCCGAGATCAATGACTGAGCCAGGCAGGTGCCCCAAAACATTTTTTAAAGTACAAAACAACCACAGCAGCTACAACAACAATGTTGATCCACATCCCCAGCCTGTTGTTGACCTTGGCCTTCCAGGCCTCACAAGATCTGGCACCTCTTATCTCAGCCTCCTGAGCTGACTTCGCAAACTGGCTACTAGGGCTGAAATATGTTCATCCAAATTCTTGTCACCACTAAAGCTTCCTCAGGAAGACTCTGCTTTCAGCCATCGCTTTAAGCCATAAACTGAATGTCTCCTGGATATCTTCCTTAAAGGCAGATAAAGGCACCTTTCTTAAAGGCACCAAGTCCTGCAAAGCCGATCTTCTGCTGACTCCCCATAGGGGACAGCCCAGTGACCCACCTGATCACCTGGCCAAACCTCTGGGCGCCATGCTCAGCCTTCCCTTCCCAGCTCCTGTCTACCCTGCTAGTCCTTCCTATCCCTGAATCTCTTGGGTCCTTCTGCCTCCCCCCACTACGCTGGGCCTGGTTCCAGCTCAGGCCTCCACCCACCCAAAGGGGTCTTCCTACACTCAGATCGCATCTAGGAAGGAGTCTTCCTACACTCGGATCGCATCTGGGAAGGGGTCTTCCTACACTTGGATCACATCTGGCTATAACCAAAACACAGGGTTTTCGAGTGGAAGAACTGGGTCTGCTCTTCACTGGGGACCCTGGCATCACCCAGCACAGGGCCTGGGATGCGAGAGACCTCAGAAAACACAGGCTGAGCAAGAAGAAACACACAGAGAGCAAACCCAGGGTGGTGGACCTGGCACAAGACACGGCAAAAGGGAAGAGATGCAGAGGGACGGGGAGAGAGGTTGGTCACCATGCCTGCATCGAGTAGTGGAGGCCGGAGCAGGCTGGGTGCAGTGTGAGATTCTGGAAGGGCTGGATTCGGGGCTGACCCCAGCCCATCTCCTCCTTCCACTCCACCATCAGCATATGGTCGGTGAATGTCTTCCCAAACACCAGGGGCTTGCTGGGGTCAGGCTTCTGATGAGGTTCCTTCGTCATTTCCAGCTGCAGGTCTGCAGCCTGAGGAAAGACAGGGGTCCCAGGTATCCTGAAATTTGGTCTCAATCTCAAACTGAAAAAAACTACAACTCCCATGAACCTCTGAGGCAAAGACCTATGGTGAAGACAGACCTGCAGCCCCAGAGGCTTCTGGGATATGCAGTACCAAATTTCCCCCACAGACTTCTGGCTGACTAATAGGACCCCACTGCCAACCGCCATAACCTTTGGACTCTTTTGGAGATGCCCAAATCTGACTGCCAGCTTCTTCCTCACACCTAAGAGTCCTGGCTTCCAGCCCCCACCTCGAGATCCAAAAGTATATTCTTTTCCATTCACCTTGAAGTTTGATGAGGCATATCTTCTGGGGCCACAAAGAAGCCAAGAGACAGGCAGGAGTTTTCGGGCCCAAATCTGGGGGTGGGGACAGAAGTAAGAAAGATGGTGAGAGCAGGGGACCCTGGTGCCTGCCTTGCCACCTCCTGCACTTGGGCTGCTCTGCCCGGGCCCAGTGTGTTCTAGAGAGAGCATGTGGCCCTGGACAAGTCAGCTCCCGTCTGGGTCAGTGCATGATGGGAGGGAATCCTGCAGGAGGCCAAGGCTCCTCCCAGGCCTCGTAAGGGCAATCCCCAGAAAGAGCTGAATCAGCTCACATCCATGCCAGGGCAAAGTCAAACACAGGCACCTCCCACACCTGGGAACTTTGGCCGAGGCCCTGAGATCAGCTCAGACAGAAGATGGCGAGGGGAGAGCACACAGGTAAGTGAAGGCCTCTCTGGGGGCCCCAAATCCTGACAGGAGTTAGATAAGTGACGAACTTATAGGCCATCCTTCCCCAGAAACCAGAAGCTGGCCCCCAGCCCCCCTCCTCTTCCCTCAGACCCAGGAGTCCAGGGGGCCCCAGCTCCTCCTCCCTCAGACCCAGGAGTCTAGATCCCCAGCCCCCTCTTCCCTCAGACCCAGAAGTCCAGACCCCCAGCCCCCTCTTCCCTCAGACCCAGGAGTCCAGACCCCCAGCCCCCTCTTCCCTCAGACCCAGGAGTCCAGACCCCCAGCCCCCTCTTCCCTCAGACCCAGAAGTCCAGAGCCCCAGCCCCCTCCTCCCTCAGACCCAGAAGTCCAGACCTCCAGGCCCTCTTCCCTCAAACCAGGAGGTCCGGGACCCCAGCCTCTTCTCCCTCAGATCCAGAAGCCCAGGCCTCAAGCTCCTCTTTCCTCAGACCCAGGAGTCCAGACCTCAAGCTCCTCCTCACCCAGGAGTCCAGACCCTCAGCCCCTCCTCTCTGACCCAGGAGTCCAAGTCCTTATTCTTTCAGGATATTAGACCAGCTGGGCTCAGATTACCTAAGCCCTCAACCCTATACCTTGGACACCAGTGATTCCATTTCCCTTCAGATCCCAGGGCTGAGAGGGAGCCACATGGACCTGGGGGGCTGTCCTAGTCATGGACAGAGACACTGCTCAGATAAACATTTGTGGTCCTGCCTGAGACAAATGAGGGAGAGCAGATCTGTGTCCATCAGGGTGGCCTCTCCCCAGTATTCTCTGATCTCACAATGCCTTTTTCCCAGCCTGGCAGGAAAGCAATTGGGTCATGAGGTTGGTGCAGACACAACAGCGTAGCGTGCTCCTTCCCTGTGAGCTGGGTGAGCGGACATGGATCAGTGAGAACGAAGGTGAATGGCAGTAGTCACTGGTCAGTAGGTGAGTCATGGGGATATGGGGTCCGCCAGTCTCAAGGACGAGGAGTGATCCTGGCTAGTGTGGGGCCCAAGGGCTTCCGGGCTGATCAGGGTGTGGGTCTGCGGCATGGCCTCTAGGTGGCGCTGTGTAGCCCACACAAGTCGGTGACTATGCTTTGTCCCAGAGAGGAACAGGACAGCCACAGCATAGAGAGGATAGACACCCAGGGGGGAGACAGCCAGTCTCTGGGCAGGAGAGAAGCCCTCAGAAGCAGTGAGAGTGGAAAAAAAAATAAAAATAATAAATAAAATAAAATAAAATAAAATAGGTAAAAAGCAAGAATGAGAAAAAAAAATAGACCTAGAAATAGAAAACAAAACTGAGGGGGTGCCCTGCTGGCTTAATTGGACAAGCAGGTGACTCTTGGTCTCAGGGTCCTGAGTTAGAGCCCTGCGTTTGGGGAAGAGATTACTTACAAGAAAAGAAAAAAAGAAATAGAAACAAAACTGAGAACAGAAATCAAGAACACGAGTTGCCTAAATAGATATGATCATAAGGAGAGACAGGGAGACAAACTCACATGAAGTCAAGTCTGAAGAAATCCAGAACAATACCAAGGGTGAGAAACAGAGAGGCCAAGGGAGGAAAAAATAAATAGACAAAGACCAGACTTCAGGTGACAGCACAAAGTGAAAGGAAACCTGGAGAAATGAGGAAAGATAAGAGACACGCCAACACCTGGAGAGAAACTGTCTCCGTGATGCTTAGAGACAGAATATTTCCAGGAGATAGAGAAGGGAGAGGCAGAAAAACACATCCACAGGGCAGAGAGAAGGAGCCAGTTGTACATCTGCACTGGCCATCAAGACCCCATTGCCCAGAGAGAAGCTGCCTTCATCCTTCCAGGACACTTCTGTAGGGGCCTACCTCAGCTCAGGGCGAGTGCTCCACCATCTGACACCCCAAGCCATGGGCAGCGGGCCCAAAGGATGGTAGATGGGCTTTTGGGACATAGAGTGTGAAAGACTGGGGCTGAATTAAGAAAGGAGGAAGGGCTGGAGGAGGGGGGGAGGAGAGGCACAGACTGGGGGTGGGGGAGGATGGAGCCTCCCTTCCCCCATGTCTCATTACAGCCTAGGACTGTCTCCAGAGCAATCCAGGACTGTCCTCTCAGCACATCCCAGGAATGTCACCATCAAAGCCCAGTGCTGTGTGTCACAGCTCAGTACTGTCCTTCATGCTTCAGGGCTGCCCCATATCACAGCCCAGGAAGGGTCCTCCTCATAATGCACTGCTTTGTCTCAGCCAGGGGCTGTCCCTATCACAGCCCCACAGACCCTGGTCATGGCCCAGGATCGATCCCATTGCATGCAGAGCTGTCCTGGGAGAGCCCACGGCTCTCCCATTACAGACCAAGACTTCTCTGGGGCAGCTGGAGAGGATCTCCACCATCACAACCTCAAACTGTCCCTGCCCCAGTGCAGGGCTTTCCTACCGCAGCCCAGAAATGTTGCCATCAAAGCCCAGATCGTCCCAGTCAGAGCCCAGCCTCAGTCACCAAGACTCGGAAAAGAAGAAGAAAAAAAAATCTGCCCTGTTCTCCATCAGGCTGGGGTAGGTGTCCCAGGACAGGGTGAGGTGAAGAAGTGATTGGGGGAAAGACACTTTTCCCCGAGGTTATGTTGCAACTGTCAGGGTTTGCAAAGATCCCTTCTCTGAGTGGTTACTGTTTCTTCTCTCAGGCAGAAACTGTTCCCTAAAATCACATCCTCCCAAACTCTGCTGGTGGACCTCTTACGGGTAAGAACGGACCCTCCCAACACCTGCCGGGAGCACGTGCCACCTGGGACAGAGGGAAACTGGCTCAAATTGCTTCTCAGTCTGATGCACAGCCTCAGATAAGAGGTTCCAGATAAGAGGCAGCATTTGCACGTATCTTGAGTTTTAGTTCGAAGAAAACTGGGGCCTTGGCTCCAATTCCCAGTCCGACCCTGCGACCTATGCCTTCGTCCTACCCCCCGTGCTAGAAGCTCGGGGCGTCTTCTCCCTGCACTCCCACAGACCGGCGATTCCCTGTCCGGCCACCCCCCACCCACCCACCCACCCAGCCCGGCGCCTGGCCCAGGCTGCACCCTCCTCAGGGCTTCCCTCGTTCCTCCCGTAGGCGACCCCTCCCCACCTCCTCCTCCCTTCACCACCCTCGCCCTCGGAGCCTCGTGCTCCTCTCCAAGTGATCCCTCCTGCTCGGCGCCCTGCAGCGGAACCCGAGCACCAGGGGCGCGGCGCCGGACCGGGCCGGGAGCTAGTGGTCCGCCCGGAAGTGGGTCTGTCTCCGCAGCCTCCCCACCCCCTACCTCCCAGCCCGGGGCCGCGAACCCACCTGCCCCAGCACGGCTGCGGCCATGGTCGGTGCGGCGGGTAACTGTGCCCGTCCGAGGCGCGGCTCGGAAAAAAAGAAGTTCCGGCCCCGCCCCGCTCACGCCCCCTCCCGCGGGAGGGCCGCTTGCCTTACACCCCAAGGCGGGTCGGTTCCGTCCTCCCCCCCTTCCCCTCAGTTCCAGGGCGCCTGTCGGGGAGCTGGGCCCGGCTAGAGAGCGCATGCGCTGGAATCCGCGGGGCCAAGGGGAGTGCATGGACATGCACCCTCCTCCCCACCCCCCACCCAGATTCTGTTCCAGCCACACTAGTGCTGTGCCAGACATTGCATCAAGTTTTTTAAAAAATGGGAAAAAAAAGTTTTTTAAAAAATGCATTTTAATGGATACTGTCACGGAACGCTAACCAGGTAAGAACTGAAAGGCCAGGAACAGGAACCTCCGCATGCCTTCATCCCTTTGGTGATGAGGCAAAGCACTCGCTGTAATGTCAGTGGGTGCACATGTCATGTACATGAAAAGGGAAAGGACTTTGGAAAAAGGCCCCTGAAGAGAGTACCAGCAGGTAGGGCTGGATGAAGGGGTTGCAGTCAATCCCTGTTTGAACATAGTTTTTCTTTCCAAGGAGAAAACGTAGGTATATTCTTTGTAACTTTTCTTAAAGATTTTATTTATTTATTTATTCGTGAGAGAGAGAGACAGAGGCAGAAGCAGGCTCCATGCAGGGATCCCAATGTGGGTGGGACTCGATCCCCGGACCCCGGGATCACGCCCTGATCTGAAGGCAGATGCTCAACCACTGAGCCACCCAGGCACCTCATCTTTGTAACTTCTGAAGAGATACAACACACATGGGGCAGCTGGGTGGTTCAGTCCCTTAGGCGTGGGACTCTTGGTTTCCACTCAGGTAATGATCTCAGGATCCTGACACCCAGCTCCGCACAAGCACGAAGTCAGTTTGGGATTCTCTGCCTCTCCCTCCCCTTCTGCTCCATTACCAGGCTCGCACACGCGCATGCGCTCTCTCTCATAAATAAATATCTAAAACAAATAGGGGCGCCTGGGTGGCTCAGTAGGTTAATTAATCCTCCGTCTCTCGATTTCAGCTCAGGTCATGAGCTCAGGGTTCTGGGATCAGCCCCGCTGTTTCTGGCTCTGCGCTCAGCACGGAGTTTGCATGTCCCTCCCTCTTCCCCTGCCTGCACTCTCTCTCTCTTAACTAAATAAAATCTTAAAACATATATATACATATATATATAAATTTTTAAGATACAACACGGTTCACCATGCCTCCTTCCAGCTCCATCAGTGAGGCCCGAAAAATTTTAATTCCCCAACCCATCAGTGAGCCTCTAAGAACAGCCCCTAGGACAGGGTTACCTGGTTATGCCCAGTCAGGTGTGTCTCTGCAACTACAGGACCCTGGAGGAGCAGCTAATTACAGTGCATCAGGATCCCTCTAATCCCTAGCAATTCAAACCTGCATCAGTGGCCCCTATGCTGAACTCCTCAGGCACTGTGGCCCCAAAACCTTCTCTGGCCAGAGCTCCCCCAACTCCTGCATCTGGATTACTGTGATACCAAAGTCTTGCTTCTGTTGAGTCCCCCAACTCCGGTCCCTGGGCCACTGCGCCTCGGCAATTCTACACTGGGATAATTTGCCCCCGAATTCTGTCCCCCGGTTACTGTCCGCCAGCCCTCGCAGGCAGATCCCCAGCCCTCCCCCGCGGTGTCATCCTGTTTGGCTTCCCCGCGCCCCAGTCCTCTCCCACCACGTGGCCTAGGGCCCGAGGGGCGTGGCCGGAGGCCGCGCCCGCCCCGCCTCAGCCAATCAGCGATTGCCGCACACCCCCGCCGCAGCCAATCTGCAGCAGCCATGCAGCCCCACCACCCTCGCAGGGAAGTCTCACCCGGGACTGGGCCCCCAGCGCCCCCGGAGGTATGCAGGGTAGGCTCTGCCCAAACTGGGGAGTCCACGCCCCCCTATGTTTCCTCCTCCCCCAAACCCAGGAATCTGGATCCCAGGCCCTCCTCCCTCTGACTCAGGACTCAACTCCAGCTGCTTCTTCCCTCAGAACTTCTGGAGCGGGCCCGCCACTTTCCTGTGGCTCAGCCTGCGAAATCAAAACTCCTTTCCCTTAAGGACCGATAATAACGAGGAGGCTCTTTTGCTTCACCTCCATTATTATCTCCTAATAGAGTTTAATTTATTTTCCCCTGCGGGCCTTCGTATTAGCTGGGGTGAGCCCGACCGGCGACACTTTTCCCAGGAGCCTGCTGCAAGGCTTGCCGGGGGTTGTAGTCCCTCGGGTCGAGGCTACGCCTGGGAACGCGTGGGGCTGGGCGTCGGGACGCGGTCCCCCCGTGGCAGAACTCCAGGGCACAAAAAAAATGTGATGAACTCCTCCTTCTGGCTGCAAACTACTTTTATGGGAACTTGTGGGGTGGTTAGGCACATTGGTAAGTGGGCTTAATGTCTAGAGTTGGGGTCTGCACCTAAGAGGCAGGATGGGAGAAGCTGAAATCTGGGAGACTGAATTTGTGGGTGAGAATCTTAGGAAGGCCCAAGTGGAAATGTGGGAATCAGGAAGGGATGGTGGGGACCTCCACGAGGGTGCCCTTCATGGCCTTGTGCCCATACCCCAGCTCTGCACCCCCGGTCACAAGCAGCTCAATCCCGGTGCAGAAGGTGGCTTCAGAGGCCAGGAACACGGCAGCAGCCCCCACCTCAGCTGGCTGGCCCATGCGGCCCAGGGGCTGCGGAGAGACAAGGGGGAGAGGAATGAAGTGGGGCCTGACTGCCACACCCTAAGCCACTCCCATGCCACCTGGATCTGGCCCCTATGCCTACCTGGTTCATTGTGCCCTGTAAGACTGTGGCAGCGGGGTCAGGCGTTAAGGCTGCCAGCCCCTCCCACATTGGGGTCCAGATGTTTCCTGGGGAGATGCTATGGGAAGGGAGGAGAGGGGATCAGAGAAGTGTGTCACAGACATGGCCTCTGAGGCTCACTCTCAGCCTTCCCACCCCACTTGGAGGTGCTCACCAGTTAACCCGGACGCCATATCGACTCTCATCCAGGGCCAAAGCTTTGGTCATGGCTGTTACTGCCCCCTGAGGAAGATGATGTGGGGGGAAAATTCAGTCCAGGGAAGATGAGGTCCTTCCTGTTCTCTCCTCCAACCCCAAGGTCAAGCTGGGACATCAGAATGGGGTAGTCATGCACTCCCTGCCAGCCCCGATGGGATACACCAGGCTCTGCTTCACTGGAGACACTTGGTACATAACATGTCCCAGGTTGTCATGCCTCAGGGCTGAGGTCCCCAGAGGGCCTGGTAAGGAGTGAGGGAAGGGGCAGGGTACCTTGGTGGCCACATAGGGAACTGCCTGGACCTGGCCGATGGCCCCCACCAGACTGGAGATGTTGATAATATTCCCCTGGCTCTTCCGCAGGTGGGGGAGGGCAAACTGGGAAGACAGAGGCAAAGTCAGACCCCCCAGAGACACTGGATTCCCCCATCCACACTGAAACACATTCTGATGTCTGGAGCAATGGCATTGCCCTGGTATGGTCACTAGTGGATCTTGCTGCCTTGTAGGGACAGGGTTCTAGAACTCCAGGAAGCACCTTCACTGGTTTGCCCGTGTCTCTAGGTTTAAGGAATCTCTTCGTGTCTGGAAGGCATTTTTCTCTATGTCTCCTCTACTACCTCTCTCTCTTCCCCATTCTCTTTGTGTCCTTGTCCCCCTCCCCCAATCCCTGTTCTCCTCTCTCTAGGTCTCTGTCTCTCTGCTCTGGGTCTTAGTATGTTGCTCAAACTCCTGTCCATATCAAGATAGGAAAATGCAAGATGGCTGCATATTTTGCAGAAACGGGAAGAAGCTCTTTTATCCACGAGGGGGTGACAGTATCTCTGAGTTTCAGGGAGAACTCTGTGGTCAGAATGTGATGTGAGAGGCCTTCATGAAATGCACTGCTTTTTACCAGCTTCTCTTCTGCAATTCCCTGGATCCCTGGAGGTCCCTAAACTAATTCTCTTTTCCTTTCTCTCTTCCCTTCCTCTCTGTCTCTCAGCTCTTTCACTACACATGACCTTGAATAAATTCAAATTCTATTCTTCCTCTTATTTTCCTTTGACTGCTGAGCTGTTGGGCAAGACCTGTTCCTGCAGATAAAGATTAATGAGTGCATGCAGCCTCCTCTAAGTGGTTCCCAGGGAATCTAAATTAGGTCCCTCTCGGGGTCACCCTACCAGCTCTTTCAAACCTTCTCCACTCCCTCAAAAACAGCCTCCACTTTTTCTAAGGACTGTATCCACAAGCAAACCCTAAGTGTGCCAACCCTAGGGCCTTTGCGCTCACTGTTCCCTCAGTCTGGAATACTTTTCCTCTGATAGGCATGGAACTCTCTACTAGGGTGACTAGCCATTCTAGTTTGCCCAGGACTGAAGCGTTTTTGAGGACATGGGACATTCAGTCCACTCTCAGGGTTAAACTGGGACAGTCCTGGGTAAACCTAATCCCTCAGCAGCTCCAAATCTTGTTCAAATGTCGCCTTCTGAGCAGCCCAGGTAGCTCAGTGGTTTAGCGCCACCTTCAGCTCAGGGCCCGATCCTGGAAACCCAGGATGGAGTCCCATGTCAGGCTACCTGCATGGAGCCTGCTTCTCCCTCTGTGTCTCTGCCTCTCTCTCTTTCTGTGTCTCTCATGAATAAATAAAATATTTTTTAAAAAAGTCACCCTCACATCTTTTATTTATTTATTTATTTATTTATTTATTTATTTATTTATTTATTTATTTAAATATCTTATTTATTTGAGAGAGAGAGAGAGAGAGAGAGAGCATGTGCATGAGCAGGAGGAGGGGCAGCGGGAGAGAGGGAGAGGGAGAAAGAGAGAAGCAGATTCCCCACTGAACTCAGGGCTCCATCCCAGGACCTGACCATGACCTGAGCTGAAGGCAGATGCTTAACCAACTCAGCCACCCATGCACCCCTGAAATTTCTTACTTTGTTTCACCCCTGTATTAAGGTGTCTGTCACATAATAGGTGCTCAATAAATATCTTTTGAATAAATAAATGAATTTATTGAATTTATCTATTATGTGCCTGGCCCTACTGTCAGTTCTTCACATGCATTAGCTCATTGAATCCTCAGAACAACCCTAGACAAAGAACTGTCCACAGCTCCTTTTGCCAGGTGAGGAGACTGAGCAGGTAAGCGCCGCTCCCAAGGTCATGTGACAAGTGTCAAAGCCAATACTTGTGCCCAGCAGTGAGAAGAGAGCAAAACCCATAAGCAAAAGAGAATTTCTGACAACTCTAAGTCTTAAGAACTTTAAGATAACATGGGCACGAGTACCATGATTATGTGGGCACTGGGGGCAGGGATTCTAATCCTCCAGTGGCTCCTCAGGGACCTGACCCCCACTCCCATTTCCCCCTCCATCCTTTCTTTCTCTCTCTCTCTCTCTCTCTCTCTCTCTCTCTCTCTCTCTCTCATTGGCCTTGAAACCCTTACTGCCTCCCTCTGCCCTGGGCTGGCCCAGCCCCCTACCCCGAGGCTCCACCCCTGCCCCTGCCTAATTCTTTCAGAAACCTTTTCACTCTCTACCCAGCTGTTTGTTTGTTTTTTAAGATTTTATTTATTTATTCATAGACACACAGAGAGAGAGAGGCAGAGACACAGGCAGAGGGAGAAGCAGGCTCCATGCAGGGAGCCCGATGTGGGACTCGATTGTGGGTCTCCAGGATCACACCCCAGGCTGCAGGCGGTGCCAAACCGCTGCGCCACCGCGGCTGCCCCCATACCCAGCTGTTTGACTCCCTCCCCACCCCCACCCTGCAAACGTGAGGTCCCTAAGGGCTGCACACCATGAGTCATTCGCTCCCCTTGTTCTGGCACTGGGCACACAGTTAGCACTGAATAAATATTTGTCCCACACTCCTTATGGGCCCTATTCAACCCTCCCACACATTCCTTGGGCCATTTCCCAGTCCTGCCTTCAAGGTCACCTAGCACTTTTGTGCAGCCCACATCAAGAACCCGCTGG